ACCATCCTGCAAATTCAGTGTCGATCGTCGCATCAATGACCTCATTGGAATAACCAGCTAGAGAAAGCATTTCTCTGTAATCACTGCATTTTTTTTATAAGAAAATGAAATGATTAGAGTGTTTGTTAGTGTGGGAAATAACTTATTACGATGTTCGCTAATATTGATTTACTTGTAATACGGAATAACTTCCGGGCAGTTCATCAGAATGTAAGTTTGTGCAATTCGAAACTCGTCTCCAACAACACGACGGTGTGTCCTTCTACCATATCCTTTGCCCGGATAGTTGAAGATGGAAACTATTTGCTCATACAATGCTGGATCAACATTATCATTTCTGACAGGCCTTTTTCGCTTAGTCATGATTTCTCTTTCAAAATAGAAGGAAGAGAATGTGGAAACTTCTTCTGTAAGGTATGCTTGGCATATAGATGCTCCAACGTGTGCTTTATTTGTCACCTTCTTTTTCAGTTCTCGCAAAAACCTAAGACATATTTTACCAAATATTAAAAGATTATTTTATATTAATATAAACAATATATGAAACCATTTACAAAATGCATAATAATTTTACCTCTCAAATCCATACATCCATCTATACCAACTTGGCCCTGCGGTCATTGCTTCAAATGGAAGATGGACAAGTAGATGCTCCATTCCATCGAAAAAGGATGGAGGAAAGATCTTTTCCAAATTGCACAAAATAGTGGGAACGTTACGGTGAAGATCCTGAATTGCTTGTATGTCTAGCACCGGTGAGCATAACAACTGAAATAATTGAGAAACATCACAAATACATGCCCACACATTATTCGGGAGATTTTCCTTCAATGCAATGGGAAGGAGGCGTTGCATCATGACATGGCAGTCATGACTCTTCATGCTCTTCATTACCAAATTTTCCAAGTCAACACATCTATTAAAGTTAGAGGTGTATCCATCAGGGAATCGTAGCTTGATGAGCCACTCCAATATGCATTTCTTCTGCTCGTCCGTGAGCTGATAAACTGCTTTCTTGAATGGACCGACATACTCAGGGCCCATAGCAATTTCCGGTCTATCACAAAACAGAGCTACATCTTTCCTTGATGAAAGGCCATCCTTAGTCTTTCCCTTGAAGTTCATAACCGTGTTAAAAATGTTATCGAAAACATTTTTCTCAATATGCATTACATCCAAATTATGCCTAATCAGAAGATCCTTCCAATATGGCAAATCCCAGAAAATGCTTTTCTTTGTCCACTTATGATAAATGCGATATCCATCTGGATACTCAAGAGGCTCGTCAATGGCAGAAGGGATGTTTCGAACACGATCATAAATCTGATATCCTGTTAAAATCGGAGGTGGGGGATCGCGGTCCTTGCGACCCTTGATGAATGACTTCTTATCCTTTCGATACGGATGATTAGGTGGGAGAAATTTCCTGTGACAGTCAAAGTAGGATGCTTTTCGACTATTCTTTAGCCAAAATGCATTTGATTTTTCCATACAAACAGGGCAACCCATAAGGCCTGCAGTACTCCATCCAGAGAGCATTCCGTATGCTGGAAAATCATTAATGGTCCACATAATCGCAGCTTTCATATTAAATATTTGATCCCTCGAAACATCATATGTAGGAACACCAACTTCCCACAAATGTTTCAGCTCTTCGATCAATGGCTGCAAATACACATCAATTCTTTTTTTTGGATTACCAGGACCTGGACACATTAATGATAAAAACATAAAATGATTTTTCATACACATGTCCGGGGGCAAGTTATATGGGGTAATGATAATTGGCCAACATGAGAACTGGCCTCCAAATTGACCGTACGGAGCAAAACCATCAGAACATAACCCAAGTCTAACGTTGCGCGGCTCAAAAGCAAATTGAGGATAACACCTGTCAAAATGCTTCCACGCTGCAGAATCTGATGGATGACACATTAACCCTTCTTCAGTGTCATGCTCTACATGCCACGTCATGTGTTTCGCGGTAGCGCTTGAGGCATATAATCTCTGCAAACGTGGTGCTAAAGGAAGATATATCAACTTCGATGCTGCAGATCTTTTTCGGGCTTTTCGAGTCATACCTGATATGGGCTTGTACCTATCCGCATTACAAAACTTACACCGGATAAGTGTTTCGTCATTCTTCCAAAACAACATACATCCTCCAGGGCATGCATGGATTTTGATCATAGGGAGACCTAACTCAGAAACAAACTTTTTCATGTTGTAGTAACTATCGGGAAGACAATGATCACGAGGTAGCATACTACCAACTGAGTCTAATATTTTGGACATGCAGCTTTCAGAGAGGTTATATTCTGACTTTATGTTAAGAAATTCAGAAACTGCTGATAATTGTGAATGATCATAACAGTCAGAATATAAAGGCTGGTCCGCACTTTTGAGCACTTCTTGAAATCTAGTGCCTAACACATCCACATCATAATATGATGAGCTTGGTCCTTCGTTCACATTATTGTGTGCGTTGAAATCACTATCCGTGTGGATATTTGGAAACGTAGAAGGACCAGTCAAATCATAAAGCATTTTTTGCTCCCATACCATTTCTTCATAATTTCCCCAATTAGCCATCTCATCGGGAACATACCTCGACATTCCTACGTTTTGCGGCAACAACTCTGGCTCAATTGGTTCTCCTTGAGCAGTCCAGTTGTAATAGTTTTCAACAAAACCATGCGTATATAAATGCCAACAAACCTCACCACCTTCAACAAATTTGTTATTTTTACACTCTGTACAAGGACATCTTATTTTACTTCCATCAGCATAGCGTGTTTGCCCTTGTGCAAATCTAATAAATTCGTTAACTCCATTTTCAAACACTTTTTTCAATCCTCTATCATTTTCCTTGTAGCGGTCATACATCCAACTTCTAGTTTGTCTATTCATTGTGCCTGAATATTAAAAAATATCTTAATGAACTTTTTTTGACAGTATATCTTAACGAAATTAATTTATTAAATTTATAAGCTAATGTCTCACGTTTTAAAGCTAACACTTGAATTCAATCAAAATAATTAAGACAAATTAAATAATACTGATAACAACTCGTAATATGGATATGATCAAATTAATTTAAAAGCACAATGGTCGAAATTTACATACCTTAAGTACAACGATGATACCAAGTAATATAAAGTAAGAAATCCAAATAGAAAACCTCCAGATATCAAGTAATATAACTTCCAACTTCTATCCAGAATTCATCATACACAAAGATCAAAGACATCATTTTCTGAGATGTAGTTTGCTTCACATCCCAACTTGGTATATTTGTAGATTTAGTAGGCACAGAAATTGGGACGGAAATATCCCAGCCAAAATGTGCAGAACGGTCCTCATTGTCTCGGATTTTGGCACGACACTAAGTTTCTATGAAATCTGCTCAAGGCGACGGTTTTTGGGACGGCCAAATTCCGGTCAAACTAACGGTTACATTTTGGCACTACGTTTGGGACGGATAACAGCCAGCCAACGTAACGGCTAGAATTTGGCACGGAACTAGGGACGGACATTAGAACAACTAAATATGATACGGGGTTGTCTCGGCGTTTGGCACGGAAAAGCTTGGGACGGATATATGCCGGGCCAATTTAAAAAAAAAAACGTCTGTCCTTGGGACGGATACTCTTCCCTGCCATATTGTCACGGCATTTGGCACGTATATTAACACAGGCCAACTACGTGACAATTTTTTCGGTCTTGTCACGGATGTAGGGTCGCAAATTCCGAGCCAAACATATTGGCACGGATAATTCCGTGCCATTGTCGTAATAAATCGACTTTTCCAGCATTCCGTTCCCAAATCCGCGCCAAAATTGTCTCGGATTTTTTCCGTGCCAAAATCCGTATCTATAACGAGTTTTTTTGGTAGTGTAAACAACTGAAATTTCAACAAAATTAACATTCCATCTTGCTTCTGAACTAAATATTGATAGAGAAAACATACATAGTATGTCAATGTTCAAATTACCACCAATCCATGAATAAATTTCATGATTATAACATCCTCCTCATACATAATGCACTTCAGAGCAATTTGAAGTGGATTCAGTTATATCATCATTCTCATTATGAGAAAGACAATCACTTCATATATCTTGGCGATCAGAAACATTATTTGCAATTTGCACATTTCCATTATTCAAAAAATGTCTATTCAATAATGTAAATTGAAATATGTAATCACTAAATTATTTATCTCCGTTAATAGCCTAGGCAAGTTTAGTACTTCATATTTTTTTTTTTGCGTCGTAGTTCTATTCAATAAATGATTTATGTCTAGTTTATAGAGTGATAATGTTTTCTTTTCTTTTTTTCTTGAAAGAAGTGATATAGAAAGTTTTAAACACGTGCAAAAAGTAGCACGACATAAATGATTATTGTTTATTGTTTGTTGATAAAATCATAAAATGTACTACGTAATGTGTTTTGGTGTTTTAGTTGTTATAACTAATTTAAGGTATTTATGAAAAGTGTTTAATGTGATACTAGTATATCTTTATCATTTTGGTCCCATTTGTATAATGGCGGTTTTAGCAAACCGCTGTTTTTTTGAACTACAAACCGCTGCTAAAAGCGGCGTGTTGGCATGGATTTAGTGAAAAACAAACAGCCCCTTCATGTAAACAATAGAACACGGTATATTTAGTGAAATTAAAAATGTAAATCACTTGAAATGAATAAACATAAGTCACTACTCAAGTGAAAGTTGAATAGCAATCAAATAAAAACTAATTTTTGTATAGATGAGAAAATTCAAGCTGTAAATTGATGAAGAGAAATTCTAATATTGATTCATAATTTAAACTGAATAGGGGAGGAAGAAAACACATCTAAAATATTACCAAGTACAAGACAATGAGTCAAGGTGTTTTTGGTCTTTTGGATATGAAAAATGTGATGGTGTCACAATAAGCTTATATGAATTGGTTGTAATTGCCCCATTGAGATGTCTAAAAAAAATTATGGAATATGGTGGTACCTCGGTACCAAGTAAATGGTATTCCTGTGCCTTAGACGACCCATTAGTTGCTTTTAATTAACAATGCATTTCAGGTTATAAGTGATAATATATGGATTGGAAATATGCATACATATATATAAATTAAATAGAACCCAATGCATAAAGAAAACCTAAATTAAATACTCCTAGCAAAAGTAAAGGTTCAATGGCATAAATCAGCAAAAGATAAGGAATTTGTTTGTGCAGAAATAGCTGGTTGGCGTGGGTAGAGTGGACCATCAACAACCACATAAAAAGGGGAGGAGGTCTACTTCAGACTTGTTCGGGATGTTGTAGTCGCCAATGGTGAGGTGGTTGGCGAGGCTCCTGCCGTTAAACAGGAGGTTCTGCTTCTCAACAGGCATACCTTCCAAGTCCTCAATCTGTTCCTTCAAATCCCGAATGATGTCTGAAGATTCAACCTCGAGGACAATTGTCTTCCCTGTCATGGTTTTTACATATATCTCCGTAATTGCACCTGTGGTGGATCTCGGGTTGTCCTCGGGTTCATCGTTTCTCTTTGGAGCAGCAACCGCGTACACATGAACAGGCTGGGAAAGCGAAGCCACATCCAAAAACCACCCCAGTGATTGATCATCCGTTAGAGGGATAGAAACAAACAGGACTTTGCCTCCAGGAAGGGTGGTCGGGTACTTTCCAAACAAGTCAAGCATTTTGTATTGATCATCGCTGTTCATTGCTGTGTGCACTTTCCTCACCAGCTCTGCATGCCTGCCCCTTCGACTCAAGAAACACATCGTTTTTGGTGGCTCAGAGTAATCAACGGAACCGAGATATCCATTCTTTATTACTTGACCTCCCCAGAATAGCAATGCAGCAACTTGATCTCCACTACCTTCATTTACAAATAGTAGCTATAGCATGACTATGCCCCTTATTTAAAGTTGCAAATAACACCAACAACAACAAAAACTGTCATAAACCAACATATTTCATACCTGCCATTTCCTCTTGAGGTACTACTTCTATATGTTTAAACAGCGATACAATGCAACTTCCCTGAAAAAAGGTTTAGTACGAAAAACATCAAACTCAAGATTAAGAGAATTTAATTTAACCTGCTTAAAAGGATTGCCTTCGTATAAGTAAACATCTTAGGAATCGTAGTAAGAGCCTATTTAGAGTTAATAAAGCCTATTCGGAGTAAATAGAGGTCATGGTTTATCATTCCTATGTAACAACTAGCAACTACCCAAACCGTAATATTTTGTAAATGGAGTATGAATACTAGTTTTAGAGCTCAATATGATATATTCAACGAGATAAGGATGCTTTATACCTAAAACAATACAAGATATGATTTTGTAGTAAAATATACAGTTAAATAAAAAACGATTTACTTTGCAAGTTCATAATTATTCAATTCCTTCTCCAATGGAAGATACTAAGCTAGGTATATACCTATACAGAAATTGAAATTATAACACTAAAATATTACAAACAAAAGCAAGTAAACAACCAGACAGATGCTATTGAGATAAATGGGATGAAAACTTTTTAATATATTTCATCAACATCGTGAAACATAAAAATATTACTCCGTATATAAAAGAACCCTAAATTGATATGAAAGTGCGAAAAAAATTGAACACCATAACTATCGTGGATGTACCTCAGCAGAGATTTTCGGCGGGGCGTGGGCTTGGAAAACTGAAAACAAGTGGGACGGTTTTGCAAGAGGCGAGAGAACCAAACCCCTTTTTAAAGAAATCGAAGGTTTTCAGATCCTAAAAAGTAGACGCTCGGCTTGTGATTTGTGAAAACGGGCCCATATGGCAATTGGCAACCTTCTCATACTCCAAAGAGATATACTCCGTAGGATGTTTTTACTTCTGAGACCATATCAGAAAGATTTAAAGAGACCAAATCAGACTAGACCAGACTTCTAGACCAGATTTTAAATAGACCAGATCAGATTGAATACACATAGATCAAACATTTACAAGACCAAACTAAACCAGTTCAGACTAGACCAGACCAGACTTAAACATATCAGACCAGCAAATTTTAGTCCAAGTAAAAACATCTATAGTGCCCTTAACCAACCAAGCATTCCAGTCCACCTGGTTGTGAGGTTACCGTGCCTAGTGGAAAGTCTCGAGTTTGAAACCCGCTAGGCACATAAGGGTTTAAAACTCAATGGAGTGAGTTTCAGCCCTGATTACTCCAGCCCCCAACTCCCCTCTCGGCCTCCCCAGACACCCCGGAGTAAAAAAAAATCTATAGTGCCTTTAATCGCTATTTTTAGTTTTGTAACCTTACCGGTCAACTTTATTACTAAATACATAATTTTTGAGTTAGTGTGTTAAGTCGTGTAAGAATTAAAATAAGTTAGAGTACAATTATTTTCTGACTAAGAGTTAGAGTAAGGATCATTTTAGTTATTTCTTCATCATTTAGGTTTCAATCAATTCAACCGCTTCGTCAATATCTCATCAATTTCAATTAATTCAGTCAATTTAAAGTTTACCAAACGGGCTCATAGTCTCTCACTCATTTCATAAAATTTGATCAATTGTAACTTACATATGAAATAATAAAGTAAAAATTAAACGTTAATACTTGTATAGAATAAAGAGAAGTAACACACAAAAAGGGAAGAGTACAAATATACCCTTGAAGTATGGATGTGTTAAGAAATATATCTATGTTCTATTTTTTGGAACAAGTATACCCCTAAAATTTATGTGGAAATGCATATATACCCCTGGAGGTTTGAAAAGGTACAAAAATATCCATCAGGTTCCTATAAAGGAGCAAATTTACCCTTATTGACTTTAAATAGATAAAATAAATTTCAAAAAACACCAAAAATATATTATAAATTTGAAATTGAATAATAAAAAATAAAATAAAAATCTACTTCTGTCCAGTTCTCTCTCTTTATTATTTTTATATCACAATTTAATATTGTTAGTATAAAATATTATTTCAAATCTTTACTATATATTTATGATTCTTTCGCAGAAAGCGTTAACATAAAAAAGAAATCATTAGTTTTTTTATTCTTTGCACTATAAAATTACATATTTTGTATGATGATAAATAGTACAAGATTACAAATTAGTGAATTTAATTTTATTAAGGTTAAACAAAAATCACAAAATGTTTTTTAAACAATGCATATAACAATGTGTTCAAAATTTCATAGCTAGACTGAAGTTAATATGTATGAATTTGAAGTGCTTCATTTACAACTGAAAAATAATAATTTTGCAAAACAAAATTAAGGACTTAATATTTTGACATATAAAATAAATCTTTATTTTTAACTATTTGATTTTGTTTTATTTCTCAATTTCAAATTTATAAATTACTTTTGGCATTTTTAAAATTAATTTTATTATTTAAGTCAATAAGAGTAGATTTATTTTAAGAGTTCAGGAATGTAATGCATTTCCACATAAACTTCAAATGTATATTTATTCCAAAAAATAGACCATGGATATATTTGTTCTAACACCCATACTACAGGGGTATATTTGTACCATTGCCCCCAAAAAATTCTTACAATAAATGAAAATAAAAAAATGTATTGGAACAATAACAATTAATAAAATACCAGATTGTCTATTTATGATACTTAGAATTAGACACATCAATGGGATGTTTTCTTTTATTGGGGGGGGGGGATTACCAAGCAGCTAGCATTCCCTTTGGTACCAATGAGATTTTTTGATACAAAAAGGAGAACAATTAACTAAATCTAGTGAGACAGAGGAAATAAAAAGAAAACGGAATGGTCCACAAATTGGAAGGACGTTTTTTATCATCAAAACGGCTTCCCATTAAAATAGAGCAAACACACAAGCAGGGGCGGAGCCAGAAAAATGACTCAGTGGGGTCGAAAATCGAAATCAAATTTACATAGAATCAAAACGGTAGATTATTTTTAGACAATACCCGAATTGAATGTAGCTTAGATAAATGATAGTTTAAATGAAACTAATAGAGTATATGTAGTTAATATACTTCGTATATGTCACATATTTTATAAACTCCTTTTATACGGGTTGAGTCGAGTACCTCGGATGAGACCCATTGTCTTACCCTAGTACTCTATGGTTCTCTTCGATCTTACTCGGTTTAGTATCAAGATTTCTTATTAGAAAATAATCATTTATTGAGTAGGCACTCGTAGTAGTAAGATATGTTGTCTTTGCTCTGTCCCTAAGTCATGTCACGTAAGTAACGAGTGAATTACACGCTATATTGTAAATATAATTAATATTACGCATCACAATTTTACTAATTTCAAAATTAAATAGTGCTGATTTTGCAGAAGTCATAACTTTTTACTCGTAATGAGTTACGAGAGCCATAATATATCAAATCGAAGATATTTCAGAGCTCTACACTCATAAATTTTCAGCGGGGTCGACTGACCCCCCCGACCCCCCAGTAGCTCCGCCCCTGCACACAAGACCAAATCCAGATAGATATTATAGATCCGATCGTAAGCCCTAGGAATAGACTTAGAGTTAGCCACCCATACAAAGCAACCTGACTCGCTAGACACAAAACGGGCAAGAGGAAGCCTAAAACGACCGAAAATGCAGCACTACCTATCAAGAGTTCATAAAAAATCAAAATACTCCGACCATACCTGCTTGAACTGAAATAAAAATAAGTACTACGAAAGAAAAAATAATACGAAAATAAATACTTCCCCCAAATTACTTCCTCGCGGGGAAGTGGATCCGGAGGAGGGCGAGCTGATGTAGTATGGTAGAAGAGAATTTCAACCTCCAGTAAATCCATCTGAGAACCTATCCTGCCAATCACCGTAACGGTCACCTTCCCATCGCTCGCCACAGGTTCCCCTCCAACATCATCGTCGAAGATCAATCTCTTCCATCGGTGCTCTGGTCTCCGTCCAGGTCCTCGAAGTCACTGATCCCGAACCAGAAACTTTACATGCCCCTCGAACCAAGCCTATTCCCAAATCCAAACTGCCAAATACCAAATCTGATTGCCGATAACCACAAGAGGCCGGAACAAACCAGCCCTGCTCATCAGTTTTGCAGATAGCGGACGATCCTAAGCTAGCGATTACCTTGCGATAACCCTAGAGAGATAGTAATGCATATTAGTTGTTTTTATCTATATTATCTCTTTTAGCCCTTCAAGAGTTTAACAAAAAAATGAAAGGATTTCTTAAAAGGGTTTTTACTACATATAATATTACTAAGTTGAAGCCAATTTCCAAAAATGTGGTTAAGAAAGTCACATATTTGAAAAAAAAAACATTATGTCGATGTCATTTTTATGTCATTGTTATATGTCACCATCAAATTTTTATGTCACCGTTGAACGTCACTTTTGTCGTGAAACATGTCACAACGAAACTGTTCACTATCAACAACGCCACCATCGGCCACCACCATCAGTGACTCGTCGCCACCCTGTGGTCACACCTCGCCCTTGCACCTCTCGAGCGGCCACCACTGTCAATTGCTGCCGACAACCACCGGCCACCGCCGCCAATGATTAGCTACCGCCCCGTCAGTGACACCCTGCCCTTGCTTCTCACCGGCGGGTGGCGACCCTAACCCATTTTTGGGGCTTCATCTTCAGCTTTCCTATCCCCAAACTCCATTGCCACCACCGCCCCTACCTAGCCCTCTCCCCAGTCCCCTTTACAATACCAAACCTAGCCCCGCCGATTTGGCTTCCCTCGACCGCTATTGCGCCACCGCGCCATCTCAGATATGAAATGTTAAAGATGCCGATGAAGCCCCCACAATCGAACAGAATAAGAAGAAATAGAAGCAGGGGGCATGGCCATGACGACGGCGTGAATGGACGACGACGGACATGGCTAATCCCCTACCCCAACCACCGCACCTCCTCCTCCAACCCACCTAGCGCCGCCATTGGATCTGATGATTACATATGTGGTTGTTCGTATCCCCCGAAATCGGACAGAAAAGGCAGAAAAGAAGTGTTAGAGGTGACGGCGAGGTGACGACGAGGTGACGGCGAGGTGAACGGCGTGGGAGAAAACAGTTGAAGACAAGTGTGAGATCGAGGGAGAAGGAGCATTGGCAGTGTGGATGCGGAAAAGGTGGTGGAGGCCATCTGCTTGGAGATAAGCGCGAGGGCTAGGAACCTGGACGCAGTAGGCGACAAACAAGGAGAAGGGAAAGGCGTGGGTCACCTTTTCTTTTTATCTTAACCTAAATTAGTCATATATATTTTTCCATTGAAACTCTAAAAGTAATATTTAGACCATTATGTTAGTACCCAATTTTGATAAGATTTTGATGATGCCACTATACTTTGCACCCGTACATTGTGTCTAAATTAAATTCAAGTATTAGCACTCAAATTATTCAAATGTGACAAAATAAATGTACAATTTTTGAGACTAATGAAATAGTACCGGAAAAAGTAAAAATGCAATAAGGTACTTTTTGTTTACCTTAAACGGATATTTAGATCCAACCGGCACATATCATTTGGCTCAAAGATTAAATAAATGTCACATTTTAAAGATGCTCGAAAAATCATATACATCAAAGGTGTATGATTGGAAGACAAAACTTGACCAGCATTAAAAACTTAAACAGGTACATGGTCCTACAGCATGGGACGTCCTTTTGGAGTGAAGCTGCAGCGGCTGAAGACAAACCCATGCCGCGGCCCAATTATTCAAGACAGAAAACAAAAGGATTAAAAGCTCCTGCACAAGAAGACGAATGTACAATTCGTCCCAGCCAGACCCTCAACGCACAAGATTAATCCATCTCAACCAACGGATGAGATTAATCAACCATGAAGGCCTATAAATATAGGTAGAAGCATGAGT